GGTTAATATTGTCTGGAAGACAGAAGCAAATTATATAACGAAAAATTCTTTTGTGGGCTTATAATAATGCTGGAATTATGACAAGGTTTCCACCAAGTCTAACCTGAAAAGGAAACAAAAACAGAAAAGCATATACAACTCACACAAAATCAAATGGATTTCCTAATCCTTCCACCCAAACACTTCATTGTCCCACCAGTCATAAATTATGAACTGGGTGACACCACTAATAACTCAAAAGTAACTCTTTTTTTTTATATATTTTTTTTATTTTTCTGCTTGGCTTAAGTCGAGCATTTTGGGTCTTCTTGCAGACTAGCTTCTAGTGATTAATATAATTATAAATTTAATAACACAAAATTGTCCCGCCACACATGATTCTCCTAACTAGTAACACCATTTTACCTATTGGAATATTGATTAAAAAAAAGAAGTTCTATGATAGAATCAGAAAAAAAAAAATAAACTATCAATAGTTACTTTTTCTTTCGGTCATTATCTGTATTAAAAATTATTTATTTCCTATATTTTTTTAATTTGATATGATTTTAATTAGATTTAACAATAAAAAATTAAATCTTAACATAGATTTCTCTGAAAATAAAAATCTAACTTTTGGTAAGTTGTAATAGCTTTGACAACTAAAAATTAATTTAAAAAAGGCAAGAAAATTTCTCAAAGATTTAATGCTGATGTAACTCAAAACCATTTTTAAAAGGCAAATTTAGCGACTTTGTACTGCACATTAAGTTGTACTGCATTAAGAACCCTTGCAAAACTTGCCAGAGGTGACAAAGTGACTTTGACTTAAGGCGACAGAGTTGGTGAACAATAAATTACTGAATCCAACAAAGCCCATTTCCCACTCCATTTGTTTGAGTCCATCAAATTTGTATCTGAGTGATTTGGACATAGGAACGAAAGGGATTTCCTCCATTTTTTTTTTCTTTTCCCTTTCGTTTATAATGGGATTTTCTTATCATGTGTAATCGTTATGTGGGGATTGGTGTGAGCAGGTGATCTAAAACAGAAAGTTGGTGCAATGTCGAGACTCCAAATTAGTTGTGGGTTATGACTTATGACTTATTTGTCCATTATCAAAACTAGGATTTGAATTTATTTAGATGACCAATGATTTGGCTTTCCTTGTGCCTGCACCATTCGTCACTTGACATGTGGCATTGTTGTTGTTTTTTTATTCTTTTTTTGTAGATAAATCATGTGGCAAATTGTTGATCAATTGATGCATTAATTAACAAGACAAGGGCGTGCGTGTGTATGTATTTGTTGAAAAATTGATGCATTATTGCCTCGTTCATTTTACCGATTTGAATTTTCAGTTTTAAGTTTTTACAGTAAAAAGTTCTCAGAAAATATCACATCTAACTTTTTTTGCTACATTAAAAAGCTCTCAGAAAATGTCACATCTCAACTCAAATTAAAAACTCGAATTCACAAAGTGAACGAGGTCTATATAATTCATAATTCTGACCTTTAGGATGATGTTCAGCCAGCTTAGGTAGTGGGCAGACCACTTGACCAACTTTTTTACAATTTTCATTCATTTTTTAACTCAAAAAAAAAAAAACGTTCTTTTATAGTGTGTTTGGAAAGGGGGAGAAATGGAGGGAGGGAGAGGGTGAAGGGTGAAGTAATGGTGGGAGAGTTCCAATCAATGGATTGGAGAGAGAGGAATAGGAAGAGGAAAAGTAGAGGGACGTGGTCTCACTCATGACCCATCAAATTAGATCTTTCCATAAACAAGTAATCCATGAACTTTAAACTTTAAAAAGACTGTTTTACACTCTAAAAAAATTATTAACAAATAGTTTAAATGAGTGACATAGTAATTTAACAAATAATTATTTATATCCTTTCAACTTTCTCTCCATTATACCAAACAGCATAAAGGATTATAACAATCCTTACTATATATAAGAATTAATTACAAAAATTTCCTCTGAACTATGATCATTATAACACTTTGTCCCTTAAACTTTAAAATTTACCATCCGTTCCTCTCGATCTATGTTCTGTCAATAATTTTACCCTTTCTATCACAATAAGTGACGAAATTAAGGATGTCATTTGATCAAATCTTTTATAGAAGTAGTTTCTATAAGGGGCAGGTTCTGAGATGCCAAGAATTGAGGCGACTTTCTTACTATTAAATGATTAGTAGTGAATACAAAAGATGCAATATGCGTATGAGATCTTTGCAAAGTCACTTTAGAAGCTGTGTTATGTTATTTCACTTGCAAGCACGGCCATTCTTTACTTTTAAGTTTGCAAAATTACGTTTTTTTTTTTCACTGTAGGAAAATAAGCTCCGGAAGGAACAAAATGAAGGACTGAGAAGGGAGAATACCATTGTAATGACTCGTACCCCCACCTGGTATGATATTGTCCGCTTTGGGCCTGAGCCCGCACATTTTTACTTTTGAGTTTCACCCCAAAAGGCCTCATACCATTAGGAGATAGTGTCATTCTTTATAAATCAGGACTCATCTTCATCCTCAGGCGATGTGAGACTGCACAACTTACCATTTTCTGGCCTTGTGCCTCAAGAGATTGATGGTTGTCACAACCATGCTGAAGGAATTGTTTTTTTAAATTATTAGAAATAGGTTTTAGTTGGATTTCCACAAGCATGATGTTATCATTTCGAAAGGGAAAACTAGTTTATCATGACTAGAAAAGGACACTAGTTTGATCCATCATCCATCTACTTTTGTTCCAAACTTGGAAGGAAAAACCACCTAACGAAAATCATTGTATTTAGTTCTACACCGCTCCCTCAAATTATTCAATAATATCTAACTAAGCAATTTTGGATAAAAAGTTTAGCGATTAATATAGTTACAAACAAATTCAAGAATTCTTCAACCAATAAAAAAAAACCTAAATTTAAGGATTCAAAAAGTAATAAAGAAAGTTAAAACGTATGGTCTATATGAGACTTGCTCCTCTTATTTATGATCTTTTTTGGTTTTCTAGCTTTAAATAGTCACCAAATTTTGTTACTAAAATTTATACTAGATTATAAGATGACTTGCTCCTTTTATTTATGATCTCATTTGCCTTTTTTAGGAATTGCTCACGAAATTGACGTTTTATCGATATATTATGTATGTTCTTTTAAAAAAATAAAATAAAACAGCTCCTGTTTTGCTTTTCTTAAAAGAGTTTGCATATTGTGGGGACAAGTCTTGTTTACCTTTACAAGAAAAAGGAAAAGAACAAGAAAACAAAAATAATTTTAGAACCACTCCAACAAATTGTGATTTAGTGAAACACACATAGATTTTGTACGTTAACTTTGAGTTAAAGCTATTGCAGAAACATTCCTTTAAGGTCTATATTAAAGGTATGGTCAATAATATCACTAAGTTACCCAATCAAATACCAACTAATTAATTATGGGAGAATGAGAAAAATATGCCAAGATTTGAGATGAATTAAAATTAATAGGCCAATAATTTACATAAGTTAATAAATAGGCTAAATTATTATTTTCTTTCATAACTTGTCTGGTTATGAACCATAACTTGACAAGTTATTGTTCATAATTGTCGATAACTTGTCTAGCTATGAACCATAACTTGACAAATTTGTCCATAACTTATCTGATTATGAATCATAACTTGACAAGTTATGGCCTATTAATTTCTATAACTAAAAATTGGCCTATATACTTTCTTAAACTTTTTATATTGGCCTATTTTCTACTATTTCCCATTAATTATTAGGGTATGTTTGGAAGGTATACTCAAATCATGTTTTTTAATTCTGATGTTTGAAATTAAAATTTTTTGTGAGAAGAAAACGGTGTAGCAGAATTAATAATTTGAATTTGAGTATATGAAATAAATAGGCCCTTAATTATTTGATATGTGTATTCTTAGATTTATTGTGGCATTCGCTCTAGATTTTGGCTCCAATGATTTCAAGGTTAACGAGATAGCATGCCTTTTTTACAATTCCATTCTCAAAATTATCTTCTTCTTTTTTTCTTTCCCCCCCCCCTCTTAAGTGTCCTTACGTTGTTGGAGCTTCTGTTCGCTAATATAATCTCTCACTCTCTCTTTTTTTCCCCTTACATTCAGAAACGAATCTCATTTTTGCAACTACCATTCAAAATATCCCATAACAAATCTTGGGTTATAAAATTAAAATTATCCCGTTAAAGTTCTTCCATCAAGAATCTCAATCCGTTGAAACATGATGAAAAATGACATTTGACTGTCATGTGGAATGTTTTCAGTAATGTAAATCAAAGTAGAATTCACTCTAATTACAAAGACCAAAATAATATTATTTTTAATTCAGATTTTTCTTCTACAATGATATTTATTCTTACGTTTTGTTGATTCCATCGAGTTTAGAACTAATTATGAAAATAAATACAAATAAAGTCAAAATACTAATATAAGATGACAATAGATAAAATATTTTTTTCCCCTAATAGAAACGAGAATGAAATTAACTAGCTAAACATGACTATAATTGAACAAAGCAGTAGATTCACTAGAAAAGCGAAAAGAAGAGGAACAAGTACTATTGACAATAGAGATTCACACAATTTATCTTCATGTTTGATGGAGTTTCCTTTAGCGCCCTGAAGTTTGAATTCTAATTTCTTCAAGCGTCACAATCAACAATTTTTCACCTCCCAGCATCAGAATTCACTTCCCAATTTTGATTGACATATACCTTCCAATTCCTGCAATCTTTATCAATATATGTCAGTAATAAAGAACATTGTAATAGATTACAAAAAAAAAAAAAGGATTTCTAGCGAAATTTTTATATACTTATTATTATTATTATTTTTGCTAATGAGCTTATTTTTTAAATACTTAAACCTATACATTTTAACTTCTGAATAAGCAGGGAATACATAGGTTCTATATCATCTCTCCCGACACAAATATCTTAACACTGGACACATTTTATTACTAAATGAAGTAAAAAATGAAACTAAATAGATTTTATACCTGTTAATTGGAAAACCTTCTCTTGATTGTGGCCCATTTGACAGCAATTATGACATAAAGAAAGTCTCCAAAGTTATCCAACAGTCGAAAATAAGCAAGTCTCCAAGAAGCGTTGAGCAACAAATTACCACAAACTCCACAGAATCCAACTGCAAATCCAACCCCAATCCCCATCCGTAACCAAGACATGTCGAACCATTCTCCGCCATCTTCAACATTGCTTTCATCGTCACCACCAGAATTTGGAGGAGTACCATTCAAAGTTTCATCTCCAGGGCATAAAATGTCCAGAGGCTTTCCACATAGTCCAAGGTTCTCGGCATATACAGAAGCATTGAAACTTTGCAATTGCGTGCTTGTAGGGATTCTTCCCGACAGTTGATTATCCGAAAAATCCAAGTATTGAAGGAAAGAAACTTCAGCCAAGCTCACTGGAATGTTACCAGAAAGCTTATTGTGGGACAAATCTAATGATTCGAGCTTATTCAACTTTCCAATCTTCTCAGGGATGACTCCACTCAAATTATTCCTTGATAGATTTAGTTGAACTAGTTCCACAAGATTTACAAATTCTTTTGGAATCTCTCCGAACAATCTATTGCTTGAAAGGTCAATGATTCTTAATAATCCAAGAATCTTCTTGTATTCGTACTCTACTCCTTTCCACACAATCATTGCATTAGATTCATAACCTTCGCCTCCATCATAGATTGAAATGGATGCAAAGATTGAAATGGATGTAACTTCCTGATTGAGTTTTTGAACCATAGAGGTGAAATTGTCGATGCATGAAGGAATGGATCCGGATATGTCGTTCATAGAAAGATCCAAGATTTGAATGGATTGGAGATGGCAAAGATTTGATGGTATGTTTCCAAAAAATCTATTTGATTTTAAACTCAGAAAAACCAAGTTTATTAATCTTTCCCCAATCCAAGAGGGTATTTCCCCTACCAAATTATTCTCTCCAACATCTAAAACTCCCAGTTGGGTGCAACTCTTCAATGACGATGGCAAACTTCCAGAAAAATTATTGTGCCTCAGATTCAAGAAGGCAATGCGGTGCACCAAACCAAGGGATCTTGGTATCACTCCAAACAATTCATTGTTTTCCAAATTAAGAACAGTTAGATACTTCAAATTCCACCAACAATCAGGAAGGCTTCCAAATAACAGATTATTTGAAAGGTCAAGAAGTACGGTTGCTCCATCTCTTACGTCACATAAGAAAGACCGTAATCCAGTGAACTTGTTATCGGAAAGATACAAATATGTTGCATTGGATAGAGAAGATGGAATAGGACCATGGAATTGGTTGGAACTCAAATCAACTAAACGATAATTATCAGACATCAATGGAAAGTTTGGCAAGGTGCTATTCATAAGGTTGAAAGATAGGTTTAGATACACCATTTTGAAAGTCAAATCAGAAAACCAATGAGGAATAGCACCAGAAATTCCAGAATTGGAAATGTCTAGATAGGAAATATCTAATGGCTATGGAGCCAGCTAGGAAATTTCGAACCTAACTTGCAAGAACTCAATGATAAGGAAGTCAATTGGAAGGGGGGAACCCAATTGGAGTTGAAACTCAATGTCAAAGGATTAGATGATAGGGATAATACCTTCAACTTGGACAACTTTTGGAAGTGGAGTTGAGAGACAACCCCAGACAAAGAGTTATGAGAAAGATCCAACCTCTCTAGATTTTGGAGTTTGCCAATATTTTCAGTCAATGATCCTGTTAGTTGATTTCTGCTTAATTCCAAAGTAACAACATTTGGAAATCGACTTAAACAGTTTGGAAGAGGACCTTCTAATAGATTCTCGTCGAGGTTTAGCTCTCTCAAAGACAGGAGTTTTTTTCCATCGTCAAAAATTGACCCTCCAAGTTGGTTCCAACTCAAATCCAAAGTCTTTAACGAATGACCGGACAGACTTTCCAAGAGATCTTGAAGTGTTTCATTAAAATTGTTGTCAGACAGATCTAATGTTTGTAGGTTGGTAAGATTCCCCAAGAATTTGGGTATTTTATTTCCAAGTACAATATTCCGTGAGAAGTCCAAATCTGTAAGGCAAGTCATTTTCTGGAAGGAATTTGGAAGCAAACCGGATATAAAGTTATTGGAGATGATAAGGTCAACAAGGTTGGTGCTAGAATTTAGAAACCAAGAAAGCACTGTGGGATGAATTGTATTACCTTGGAGATTAAGACTAGTGAGGGCATTGGAGAAGTTTGCAGAAGAAAGAGAAGAAATAATATCTACTACAGGAAACTGACAGCCCTGTAACCCTAAGTGTAATGACTGAGAAAATTCCAGACCTTAAATAATACAATTCAT